CACACACACAGACAGCCTCTCGACAATATGCGTTTTTGCTGGCTGTAGCAGCGTTATAGCGCTGCTGTAGCGCTGCACAGCAAAAACGCATAAAAAAATACGTTTCCTGACCGAACTGCGATGTGTGATAAAAACTATCAGCAGTTGATAAATTTCGTCGCAATTGTTCTTTAGAGGTGAGGCATAAAATAGGGCGCCTGTCAGTGGTAAGCGATGACAACTGTTTGGTGGCGCAGCCGACCTGATCCACAGCTACTCGCAGAATGCGAGTAAAACCATAACAAATGAGAGGGGGTGCTGTAAGGAATCAGCGAAATGCGCCAAAATCAGTAACGTTTGCAGTTTACGTTATCGAAAGAAAAGATCCTATTCTTTTGCGTTTTATTTTTACAACAACTCTCGAAAACGTATCAAAAAACTAGTGCTGCAAAAGTTCAAAAGGCTATGAAACTCTGTTTCGTGTGTAATGTTTACTAGACCTTTGACAGTCGGTTTTGTTTCCCGAAGAGCTTCAACAACTTCTTGCACGAGCAACTCTGTAAGACCGAAGTATCGTCTGAAAATGCCTTCGTAAGTCTACTAGTTTTTAACTCCAAAATGACGAATTCTATGTTACTAAACAAAAAAATAGCGTCTTGCTGGCAAAGGCGTTTAGACTGTAAAAGTTAGAGATTTTACTGATGGATTAAAATTTCAGCAACGTAGCAGATTCTCATAACTAGAGCTAGTGTTCACTGTTTCTGTGACAACCTAATAATTCCAATTTTAGTTGTACTTTAGCACGTGAAATTCCGCAAAAATTTCACTTTTTTTGTACTTGTTGATGTGTATATAGGAAATATTCATGATTGGCATTTGCGGCTGAGTCATGTGGAAGGAAGACAAAAATATAATTTCGTGAATAAATTGAAATGAAACCATTTAGGTACATGGCTATAGTGCATCCGTTAAATAGGCGAATGAGCAGGCATGCAACGATGGCAACAATTGTTGCAATTTGGATTCTTGCTGTGCTGTGTGGCTTGCCAGCATTGCTAGCTTCAAAGCAAGAAATAAATTTTTTCGTGGACGAACGAAACCGGATATTCGTTGATCCTACTTGCTTAGCCGACAATTTCCCGGATGGGAATGCTTTAACCAGTAATCTATTTGCAGTGTCAGTTTATGCTTAACTTGTAACAGTTCAATTCAGTGAAAAGAACAAAATGGCACCTTTTGAACTTCAGTGTGAAAATTGCAGGATAATTTAGGAACTTTTTTTGTTGTTCTGTATCAAGCACTGATACTGAGAGGGTGAAAGAGAAGAAAGAGACAGCACTGGTACTGCTGACACAAAAAAAATAAGATAGCCAAAAGATGAGCCAAAGAAAAGTGCACTTTTTCCTTACGAATTTTTTTAAAATTCCTTTTTACGAAAAAAAAAAAAAAAAA